AATAAAATATACATAGAAAATATATAAATTATAGCAAGATATACAAATTAAATTTGTCAAGAAAAATATGAATATAAATAATAAGGATTAGCATATAATTGAATTACCGTTTATACCAAATATACATATGTATAGCACCCTCTAGCGATTATCATTTGTTAAACTATCAAAATATTCGACATCTGCCTGCATATTAAAACTGACCATAATCTAACATCTGAGCTTAGCGACTTTTAATTATGTTCTCCAATGGCCATAACAACAACAAATAATATATAATTTTGAACTTTGTTTTGTGTACATGATTTTAGTTAATGCTCGTTGTGTTGCTAAATGTTTTGTGGACTCTGTTATTATTTCCGCGGCAGTTGGATGTGGAGAAAGCATTGTAATTAAAACTGCGCTCGGCTAACAAAACATAATTCAGCAGCTGCCAGAAATGTTGTTGTTATTGTTATTGTTTGTTTGCATATGGTCAGGCAAATATAACGCATACGCCATGTGAGACGCAAAGTGCGTTTTAATTGCCGCCGCGTGCTTTTATGAAGTGCACATAAAATGTCGGCCATAAACTCGCCCTTTGTCTGACCGCGCCAAGCCAAATGCAAATGAAATGCAGCTGCACATTTTTGCATAGAAGTCGTAAATTTCTGAAATTGAGCGACATTCTTGTTGCACTAAAGGCCGTGGGTCAACTTTAAAGAGCAGCTGGCGGCAAAGCTTACGTTGGCCAGAAGCCAAAGGCTATATCGAAATGGAAAGTCCAAAAATGGCAGCAGTTAATGCCGCTGCTAGTCCTGCTGCTGCTGCTGCTGCTGCTGTTGGAAAAACAATTTGCCAAAGGATAGAAACATTACAGCACGGGCCAAAGGCCATCGAGAGGAAGACACTCTGTGTGAGTGTGAGTGTGAGTGTGTGTGTGTATGCGTTATCGACTCGACGAGGGAGACTCTTCTACTGGCTGCCCTCAGCTGACCAAGTTGACTGCATAAATTGCCGGCAAGCTGTCGTTGGGCAAACGAGCTGAGGCTTAGCGCCTGAAAGTGTGCAGCAGATTGCGTCTTGTTCCAGCATATGACTATGCATATTTGAAAGGCAATTTCTTGACGCACCAGCTCCATTGCCAGCGTATGCAAATGCAATTTCATTCATGTTTACAGGCACTTTACAGTGCATCATGGCACCGAAATATACATACATACATATGTATATATATTTGTCTATATGCGCATAATTGCATTTCACATCAATTTCCACAAAAAAAAACAACTCAACTGTGCCTTAGACATTATTTTACGCAAACTGTTGGCCTGCTCCACTGGCACTGGCAATGCGAACAGCTGCATCACAACACATTAAATCGCTCAATCGTTCATTTTGCTGCCAAACATTTCAATCAATTCAGTCGCAAATTTCACTTCCGCTTCTGTTGTGCCGCCTTCTGGCAAAATGCATGAAATGCATTTAACAACATTTTCACACTTATACCGCAGCATTTTGTTAAATTCACATTAAAT